TGAGAAGAAAATAGGGAGGAAAGAAGATTAGGGGAGAAAAATGTAAGAAAAGACATTTTCCATCCTTGATTTCCTCTAATTCCTTCTTGAAGAGGAGAAAAACCTAATGCCAGGCCAAGAGAATGTCATTTTGTTATACTTTTTCCATTAGTTTTCTTTCCTTTCTGTTTTCCTATCATTTCAGACAGTGTCAGTGTATTAGTCAAATTGTGATTTTCATTACCTTGACATGATTCCTTGGAACAGGTTTATGATGTAACAAAATTCTTGGAGGACCACCCAGGTGGGGATGAGGTTTTGCTGTCAGCCACAGGTATATAGATATCAACTATCAACCATTTTTTTTTTTTTCCTTGGGTGTACACGAGCGCTGGTCCTTCAGACCCCAACTGATCCAAATCGAGCCGGGTCAGACCATGAGCACAGCAAGCTTTCCAAACTCGAACTCAAGAATCCTAATTAAGCCAGCCCCTAACCAGCCGAGCTAAATGCTCATTGGTTATCTAGCATTGTTTTTTGAATGCACGTAACTCATTTGCCACTTCTCTGCAGGAAAAGATGCAACTGAGGATTTTGAGGATATTGGTCATAGTACCACAGCGAAAGCAATGTTGGATGAGTTCTACGTCGGAGACATGGATTCATCGAGCATCCCGACCAAGTTCAAGTACAAGCCTCCAAAACAGCCTCACTATAATCAGGACAAGACAGCAGAGTTTATTATCAGGACCCTTCAGTTTCTAGTTCCGCTGATCATCTTAGGCGTGGCGGTCGGTATCCGTTTCTACACCAAATCAAAATAACCATTGAAACTGGGAAAGTAATTGATAGACATTATGAAAATATGGTAGTGTTGAAAGAATCCTGCTTGTTTTCTGCTTTGGAAATTGAACTGCAATTGCTCGGGATTGCCAGGATGTGATCTTTCTCCGTCCCAAATAACATGTTAATGTATGCACTGTCAATGTATTCTGCATTTATATATCCCATCATTTTTCTCATCACTAATGCTGGAATTGTCTTTTGGAGTTTTAAACTTTGGTACCTTCATATTTCTTCTTTTAAAGCCGATGAGGTTTTCATTTCCGGGGTGAACTAGTGACTTCTGGCAAAGGGAGAATTTTTTTACTAGGGGCTGAGATTCTGTATGATTTTGGATGTATGAATAAATTATTTGTGAACAGCTAGTTATTCCACTGGCAGCCTCCTTGCTGCCACTCTTGCCTCTTGAAAGACGTCCCAAGCTTGAACCTGGGTTTGAAACTGGTGTTAGACATGTTTGTGCACGTGCGTAGGCACGCGTCTCCTCCACTATAGGAAAGAGCTCAGTTAAGGGTAATTTTTATTTAAAAAAAAAAGAATAAATTAATTGTTCAAGTTGTGGGAGCCAACGCATTATCAATTTATGTGGAAAAAAAGCATGGTATTAAAAAATCTGGCTAATGAACCAAATAGTTTTATGAGAGAATGACCAAAAAAAAAAAATCAAAATATGCAAATGACAATTAAGTAGTAGCAAATAAGAATTAACATGCAAGATTATTATTTATTGTTACATTATTACAGAAAAGTTATGATTGTTCAAATAAAATTTGTGAATTATTTTATTTTTAATAAAAAATAATTTAATAATTTATTTAAATTTATTAATGAAAGAAAATTTTTTAAAAATTTAATAAAATTATAATATTTTAAGAGATTAAATTATTATTTATATAATTAAAAAAATTTTATTATTATTATTTTTTATTTTTTTTCAATAAAAGTTAAAACATGTCATAATCCACGCAAGCTTTAGGTGTCCAAATAGCAGGCGTGGTCGATGCCCGTGTTGAAAGATAGATAGGGCCCGTCAGTGTCGGCGGTGCAACGTGAATGGTGGTGCAGCCCGTATAATGCTCCATCAACCTCAAATATCAATTCGTTTCCCTTTTTTTTGCTTTCTAAATTAATTGAATTAATTAATTAATACAATACAAGAGCCTTCCCGAATTCAATCTACATCAACGGCCTCAAATCGCTACCCTCTTCGTACCATCGATCCCCTTGGCACGACCCTTAACATAAAATCTTGATCCGTCAGTTTAGGCATTGTTTGAACTGTGGAGTGTAGAGTTTTGAGTGAGAATTAGCCGATCTTCTCTCTTGCTTGACTTTCCGATCACCACTGATCAGGTGCGGCTCTATTCTCTATCTAATCTCTCTCTTCTTTCATTTATCTGCATACTGCGATCACGATCAGTATCCCTCTTCCGGCCATTTCTGTTGTTTTAATTTTGCAGAACTTTTTAAAGACTTTTTATTTATCTAATTTGAATTATGCGTTACGAATGATCTGTTTGTATAGATTGTTGATGAATGCGATCCGAACAGTTGCAGTAATTTGCTTTACTTTACTAGTCTTAGTTGAAAGTTCATTTTGACTTTTTTGTGTTGGCTGGATCTTGCTCAAGCTGATTGATCTACTGTCTGCTATTTAGATATGTCTTCGTCTGATAAACCGGAAGTAGTTGAAAGGGATGTTAAGGATGAAGAGCACAAGGACAAGGATAAAGAAGAAGGGAAGGGTGGGTTCCTTGAGAAGGTGAAGGATTTCATTCACGATATCGGTGAGAAGATCGAGGAGACAATTGGATTTGGGAAGCCGACGGCGGATGTTACTGGGATACACATTCCCGCTATTAATCTTGAGAAGGCTGAACTTGTCGTGGATGTGCTTATAAAGAACCCGAATCCGGTACCGATTCCTCTAATTGACATTAACTACCTGGTTGAGAGTAATGGGAGAAAGCTAGTTTCGGGATTGATTCCAGATGCAGGGACAATCCGTGCACATGGAGAAGAGACTGTCAAAATTCCTGTTACTTTGATTTATGAGGACATAAAGAATACTTATGATGATATTAAACCTGGAAGCATCGTACCTTACAGGGTTAAGGTTGATCTCATTGTGGATGTTCCGGTCATCGAAGGATAACTATACCTCTGGAAAAAACTGGAGAGATCCCCATACCATATAAGCCTGATGTTGATCTTGAGAAAATTCGTTTTGAGTCATTCTCTTTTGAAGAGACTGTCGCAGTTCTTCATTTGAAATTGGAAAACAAGAATGATTTTGATCTGGGCCTCAATGCACTGGATTACGAGATCTGGCTTGCTGATGTCAGCATTGGAGGTGCTGAACTCACCAAATCTGCTAAAATTCAGAAGAGCGGAATTAGTTACATTGATATTCCATTCACCTTTAGGCCTAAGGACTTTGGTTCTGCACTATGGGACATGATTAGAGGAAGGGGCACTGGTTATTCCATCAAAGGAAATATTAATGTTGACACTCCCTTTGGAGCGATGAAACTGCCCATCAGCAAGGAAGGAGGCACGACCCGTCTCCAGAAGAATAAAGAAGATGGTGGCGATGATGATGATGAGGTTCGTTAATTATATTTTACTCTGTTTTTACTGTTATGTGCCTCCAAGTTTTATTTTTCTCTTGTGCAAGCTCATGCATGTATATTCAAGTGTGTGTGTGTAACCAGTTTAACCTTTTGTCGGCGAGAATGACAAATCTTTACTGACCTATGTGCTCCTTGTAAGCGACCCCATTGTTAGCAATATAATTTTTTCGTCTATGCTGATTTCTTTGGCTAAATTTTTGTGACATGGAAGCTGTAAATTCGTCTCATTTCATACTCTAATCCTCGGAATTGAGATTATGACAAGTCTTGAATATTGCACAATATACTAAATCGTGGCTTTCCTTTGCCTAGAGAGCACATAGGATTTAAAGTCGGGGCGCAATATGATAATTGAGTCTCATGCTTAAATCTTGGATTATAGATATCATCACGAGCTGTCAGGATGAACTTGTATACAGGGCGCCCTAATGGTTGCAAAACTTTTGAGTTTTGCTTGATGCCTAGATCAATACTTAGGGGGCCAATCTTATTTTCATAAGTATAGGGCATGTCAAGCAAAGTTTTTGTAAATACTGGCATATATTGTTTTAAAATTGCTTTTTTTAAAAAAAAAAATTGTTTTAAAAACAAGTCTGACCTTGTTCTTTCTCTTTGACATCAAAAAACAATGCCGAAGATTGATTAGTCAATGTTTTGCCGTTATTGTCTGAATTCAAGCTTGCCTGTAAAATCTCGCCCTTGGAAATTTCTGAAAAGTTTTCTTGGAATAGCTTGAACCATTTCCTAATTTTATTTGTTCATATTTTTCATGAATAGAAAAGCTATTGAGAATGTTATCATTTAAAATGATCAATAACTTTCATTGTTCCTCGACTGTATTTGTTTGTTCTATTTAACTTAGTTCTTGACTCTCTCTTTTGCAGGAATGAAGAAAGGGTAGAAAGATTTGCAGGTAGTTGTTGTTTCATTGACAGTGAAGATATATTAAAATTTTAATTATAAGATGAAATTGAACTTCGGGGCATTACTTGATGGTTGAGTCATGTATTTCCATTGGTGTGTTTTATTCAGAATCAGATGGGTTGTACCCCTGCTTGTGTTTCCATGTCCATGTTTGAGTTCTTATTTGATGATGAATACATGCTGTTGTTATTATTTGCCAAATTTAATAGTCGAAATGAGTTTAGCCTATGAATAATGATCTATAAGTATGATCCTTAGGGGCTCTCCACAGAACCACCTATACTGGGATAGCATATGGGAAGCTAGAATGATTCTAGGTAGGGAACAATGAAAGTATATGAATAATCATGATGCCCTGGCTAAATTTGTTCTAACATTTACCTGGAAGACCATTTTTTTAACCGTTCTCTTCAGTTTATCGAGGAAGAGGAGGAATGGGAGAAAAATTATCTATTAGATGTATCTTAATCTTTTAAGCTTGCGTTATGAATGAATCACCTTTTCACTAAAAAAAAAAAGAAAAAAAAAGAGTTTAGTCCATGAATAATGGCCTAGTCATACACATTATGAATCAAAGCTCAGCGTGTGAAAAAAAAAAAGGGAAGGGAAAAAAACTAAAAAAGAAAAGAAAATGGTTGCCCCTAAAGCCAAAACGCATCATCATGTACTCCGCGCCATAAGGTTGCTATTTGTGCGATAATCATGCTTCAATTACGTTTACTTGTAATCATGTTCATAAGGAAGTCAATAAATAACTCTCCATTTTCAAATATAAGAGAAAATAATTAATTTACATAGTTTAGGAAAATTAATTAAGTATTATAATTATGTCTGAAAATTTAAAAATTGGACTAAATTATCCCTACAATTAATAAAACAAATGTATCTAGTAAAAATAATTATTGACTTTATGGGGGATAATTTAAAAAAAATTGAAATAAATAGTTGAAATTTGTAGTTTTGTTTATAAATAAAAAAATAAGAAACATAGTTTCTCTTATATTAAAAAACGAAGGGAGTATGCAGATTAGCTTGTTCACGGAGCATCCCATAATATTTTAAAATAAAGATTTTCAATTATCCACCTTTAGGATGAAAAATTTATTAAACTCTTACATGACTTGATTATGTTGGTTTTTGCATGGATTTTTCCGTGAAGTTAAAAAAAAAAAAATATTTCCTCAGAAGTCATAAATTCTTTTTAGAAAAACATAACTTTAAGTTTTTTTTCATTTTGCTTGAGTTTTACTATTTGTCTCTATACTTTTTTTAATATTTTAAATCTATACACTTTTATTTTTTTAGTGTTCTAGATCCCTTCATGAACAAAGCATGGGGACTTTGAAAAAACCTAAAACACCAAAAAATAAAAGTGTAGAAACCTAAAAAATAAAAAAAAAATACATGAACTATAACATCATCAAAATTTAAACTTGATTAACTAAGTCTAATTAGAGTAATTAATTTTATTAGTGAGATGTGTGGCTAGAAAGGTCTAACGGGTGTGTTTGGTTGTAATTTTAGCCTTAAATATGGGTTTGAAGTAAAGTTGGGTAGCTTGGATGTGAAAGGAAGAAAATCTAAAGGAGGAAGTTTTGTGCCACACGCCATGGCATGTGGCTTAT